CCTTTCTGTTTTTATGACCAGAATTCTTTGAATTCAGCCATGTGAGATGAGAGATGAGCTTCAGAACCAAAAAAGACTCTAAAACACAAGAAAAATCGAACATCACAAAAATCCAGAAAATTAATTCAGATGGGGAAAACCCATATATGAACAGAGCAAGTTGAAAAGAATTTTGATAAAGAAAATCAAACTATACATGTAACAAAAGACAACCAAAATCTATTGCATGTGAAAATATATGATTTTTTCATATATGAACAAAGGCTCAAACAAACACAAAACTAATCAAATATACAAACTTTGTAAGGGAAACAAAAAACCCATTTAGGCACAGAAATGAAATTTATAAACTACACATATCCACCATTTCTATATTAAAAATGAAATCCAATTTCATTCTTGTTTTCACACCATAAAAGCAGAGAGCTTTAAAAAAATTAAAAAAATAGTTCTTCCATTGGCAATAGAGTCCAATTGATGCACAAAACTTTTATTCCTTCTAATCCATCTCTTATAAACCTCCATACCACACATACCCAAATCAAATTTCATATATTCACACACCTAAATCAAACTTAATCACCCAACCAAAAGGATAATCCAACATCAATAAGAATCTCAAATAGGAAAATAAGGGAACATTCGCACAGCCAAATGAAATTTGGAACTTCACTTTGATGAAAGAAAGATGACTGAAAAAGCTCAATTGAATCATGCTTAATCTTACCTGGTAAATGCCGTGAACTTTGATGTGAAAATAGTGATATCAATAGAGGGAAAATAGAAGGATGACATAGAGGAACACATGCATACATTCAGATCACCATTGAAAGACACCTTGCAATAGGAAACTGAAAGGGCAAAAATTGATTAAGCAACAAGATGACACCTAGCCATTAGAGAAAATTGAAAAGACAAAAATACCCCTAAATAATGAAGCAAGCATGTTGAACTACCCTTTTCTACTATAGTAGAAAATTAGGGATGGTGGTATATAGCATTGGTGGTCAAGAAATTTGAATAATAACGATAGTGGGGAGGTGTTTGAATAATTAACCACGAAAGAGATATTGTTTCAATAACTAGTAGCTAAATCTTTAATATTCTATGACTAGATTTGTAATGAAATAGAAATTATTTTGTAATTTGTTAATTAGAGAAAACAACGGAATGTTGTACGTGTTTGGAAGAAGATTTTTTTTAGCTTTGCAACAAAAGAAATTATTATTATTATTATTATTATTATTATTATTATTGCGACTGTTGTTGTTATTTTTATTATTATTGTTATTATCGTTATTATTATTATTATTATTATTATTATTATTATTATAAGAGTTTAATGTACCCCTTCGTGTTTCCTTTTCAAATGAGTCTTGTTTTGGAAAATTTAAGGCAAGTATAGGAGGGTAAATGAATAGGCATACATGGCAAGAACAAGATTAATTCTTCCACTTTCATGTTACTATTCCTAATTTAGTTATTACTAAGTTAGTATGGGGTGAATTTATATTTTTGGTTATTATATTATGATTCAAGTTTTGATATATTGCTACATGTAATTAAGTGTTATGTGTATGATATTATGTGAATACCCTTAGGTTTATGACATTGGAAAGAAGTTGGGACTTAAGCCTAGACTTAAAATTTAGGAACTTGATTTTAAATTTGCGTAAATTTTTGGGTCTAGGCTAGACCTATAGTAATATGAGTGTTGTTAGTTACAAAATTTTATTATGATTATTAATGTGAATAGATTGCTTTGAGTTGGAAGTACAACAAAAAAGAAAGGCTCAAGTCTCAGAGTGATTGTTCGACTATTTGAGGCAACTGGATTTCTAAACTCTTGCTAAATGTATGGAATGCATGTATTTCCTTGTGATCGGTGTTTGGGAGTAATGGGATTTGGAAGGGTTGACTTGTCCACCTTAATTAATTTTATTGATAAAAAGGGTTAATAAAAGACAATGTGATTAATTGTTTGTATGTGATGTGTTGAGAATGGTACGAGTATCGGTATTATAATGGGAAGATTTATTATTATAGAATGCGGATTGTAATCCTAGAATGCGAAAGCATATGGGCATTAACTGATAGATTATTGATTTGCTTTATTATGTGTGATTGTGTTCTTTACTGAACTCGTATAATTGTGATAATTGAGGTGATTATATGTCATAGCGACATTTGATTTATTGAGATGTTGCATCATCTCCTTTCTTTGATATCATATGTGCACATGCATTGACATAAGATTGGCTAAGAGTTAAGGTCTAACAAGTGGAAATCGTCCGTGTTGAGATCGAGTTATGATTATT